TCTTCACCCACCAGAAGAGATTGAAACTCTTGGCCAAGGTAACTGGCTAGTCAGCATTTTCTAGGAGCTCATTAAAATGTAGATTAAGACTCCACCCCAGATCTTTGCAATCAGAGACTCTGGAGGTGGGGCCCAGATGTCCAACAATCTCAGATGATTCTAGTGCTCACTGAAGTTGGATAATCTCTGTCCTCTATTTACTATATGGATATGATTTGAAACTTTACAGTTTTCCTACCTGATGATGAGAGGAGGGACGGAGGGAGAAGCGGAACAGATAAAAGCCTTGCAGTTTTCAGTTCTGGCTGTTTTCCCTAAAGGAAATATTTAGGATGACAAAGAAAGGTAAGATCTTCTCTGAAGATTATTTCCTTAATCATGGTTTTCTTTAAATACCTAAATTTGATCTTGGTATTTATGGAAGCTTAAAAATATATAGATATGCAATGTATAAAAGAATAATTGAGAAAGCCAGGACAAAGAAAAAATAAAACTAGGGAAAATAAGGGTAGATATGAACTTAGCACATAGACAACACACTAGGGAGAGAAATTACTCTCCAACCTTCCGTTCTCTTGGTTTTTGTAAAAAGATTTAATCTCTATTCTCTCTGTCCTTTTCTGTTTTCTCCTTTGTGCTGGTTTGATTTTAATTTTTTAAAAAATATTTGTTGAGCATCTAGCATGTCAAGTTTAGACATGCGGCATCTAAGGAATTTAGTTTCTTGTGGATGAAGAGTGGCCAACAAGTAAACTTGTTCATACGAAAAATTAATTTGACACAAAGAAATAAGATGATACAAATGGTGGGTATTTCCAATTGGGTGATTAATAGGCCTCTCTGAGGAAGTGAGGTTTGAGCTGAGCACTTAAGAAAAGGAGCTAGAATGGCAAAAACGTGAGAGAAGAGCATTGCCAGCCGAGGAAACAGAAAGAGCACAGATGAATTTGTCGTAATTGGAATTGCCAGTGGTTGGGGAAAGCTATAGATGAGATTAGATGTAGGCAGAGGGCCAGACCATCTAGAACTTGGTTAGTCATTTGGATTTTATCCTAAATGCAATGGAAAGTTATTAGAAACCTGATTTAGGTCTTAAATAGTATTCTGGTTGTTGAGCTGAGAGGAGTTGGAGACTGGAGTGGGGGCAGGGCTGAATATAAACTAGTTGAGATAATGAAATGATGGTGGCTTAAACTATGGCTCTAAATGAATGAATTTTAAAGTGAGGTGGAGGAAGAAAGGTTGAAATCCAGAACCGTGTTTTAGATATGTTAACTTGGGGTGCTTGTTAGACATTTAATTGCAAATGAGTTGGAAGTTCTGTGTCTAGGCAGAAGATTAAGTTGAAGAGCGGTTACTTAAATTTTTGGAAATGTGGGTACCTAGGGAGACAAGTAGAACTAGAATAAGGGACTAGAACTGACCCTTGAAGCACCTCAAAACTTAGAGGTTCTAGAGGATGTGAAGTCAAAAAGGGATGATTCGAAATAGACCCGTAAAGTAGGAGGGATATCAGACATAAGATCTTGATAGTGAAGAGAAGAGAACATTCCAAGACGAGGGTCACGGTCAACTGCGTTAACTGCTGCTGAAAGCTCAAGTAAGATAAAGACAGCAGTGGCCACTCAATTTGTAAACTTATTGATTTTTGTGATTGATCAGTTGTTTTCAGTCCAGTAGTCTAAGAGATGTTCAGGGAGGCAAGACGAGGGAAGCTGGCTACAAGGGAATTGAAGGACCTAAGCCGTCAAAAAGAATTGGAGCAAATTCAAAGCCAAATGACTAATAGAGAATATTTGCAATTTGTATAATAACAAGGAGATAATCTTTTCAATATATGTGTCTCTTAAAATTAGGAAAAAAGACCAAAAACCTGTTAGAAGAAAACAGGTCAAAGGCTTCAAACATATGGTTCACAGGAAGAGAAATAAAAATGGCACTTAAGCATATGAAAATAATAGCTTTATTTATAATAAAGTAAATCAAGCTGAAAATATATAAAGATACTATTTCTTATCTACCAAGTAGGCAAGAAGTTTGATACCTTTTTCATATGTTGCTTTAAATGCAAAGTTGTACAACCCCTGTGGTTGGGAATATGGCAAAATATATCAAAATTATAGATGCATTTACTAGCAATTCCATTGCTAGGGAAGATGCCTTCTAGGACCATGGTGCTGGACTTTGGTCTCACGACTCCTTTGCACTCAAATTATTGATGGAAGACCCCAATAAGCTTTTGTTTGTGTGTTATATGTATAGTTACTGTATTAGAAATTAAAACTGAGTTTTTAAAAAATATTAACTTATTAAAAATAAACATACCATTTCTATGAAGCAACTTTTCTGAACAATTACTGAAGAGTGGCATGGTTTTATAGTTTTGCAAAAGTCTTTAATTCCTGGTTTATCAGAAGATGGCTATTTTCTTATATCTGCTCCAGTATTCCATCCGTTGCAATGTTATGTTAGTTAAAGTATATGAAGAAACTCTGTCTTCACACAAATAATTAGAAAAAGGGGAGAGCATTCTAATAGCTTTTTCAGACAATTATGTGTGTGTGTGTTTTCTAAAATCACATCAACGAACATTTTGTCCTCTGTTACATTAAAATCCATTGGTCTATCTTATACTTTGAGTCTACTGATTTACCCTTGTATAATCTTGTAACATTATACATTGGTCTTTTGGAAATTATTGGTTCACTGAGTGTGCAGATTTTCCAAATGTTGACAGATTTCATTACACGCTATAAAAAAATCACATTTGCGGGCCGCCCCGTGGCTTAGTGGTTAAGTGCTCGTGCTCCGCTACTGGCAGCCCAGGTTCAGATCCCAGGCACTCACCAACACACCACTTCTCCGGCCATGCTGAGGCCGCGTCCCACATACAGCAACTAGAAGGATGTGCAACTATGACAACTATCTACTGGGGCTTTGAGGAATAAAAAAAAAAAGGAGGAGGGTTGGCAATAGATGTTAGCTCAGAGCCAGTCTTCCTCACCAAAAAGAGGAGGATTAGCATGGATGTTAGCTCAGGGCTGATCTTCCTCACAAAAAAATAAATAAATAAATAAAACTGTTTAAAAAAAAATCACATTTGTTAACATCACCACCAATTTCATCAGAAAGACTAAGTATCGGGAAGCTGTGAAGCTCAAAATAGTGGATGCATGTTTTCCAAAACTCCTAATTTTTGATTAAGAGCTCAAATTTTATCATTGACAACTAATGCACTCAGTTGGTTTCCTTGAAGTGACAAGGTCACTTTGTTAGTTTTTGAAAAAATATCTTCCAAATCACTACATCTGAATAACTGCAGTTTGTCTCATTTGTTCTTTCCACTAAAAATGTTGTATGAAAAACCATGGCTGGTATGGCCTACAACTCAGTCATAGAAAATGCTTTTCTTGAGACAACCATTATATTCCATATGCAGCGTAAAAGCTCTATGCACACTTTCCATTTTGTCACCTAGAATCTTAAATAAATCCTGCACTCAAGGGTTGAGATTTAATATTTTACTTCATCAAGAAATAAGAATATTTTTAAGTAAAATGAGCCTTTTTTTTAAAACTGGGAGTATGCAAGCATGTAGAGATTAAAAAATAGAATAAATGACTGTTTGATGCTATTTTCTTGATAATGGTCAGAGCCAGCAGTTTTATCTACCATCAGTACAAATGTCAACACTGAAAAAAGCAAATCAGGTCTTCAGAACCACAATTCTGAAAACCGCTGCTTTAATATGATATATATAATATGACATATATATTATATATATAATAATACCCTAACAAAATAACAAACATCGTCATATATACAAGATTAATCAACTTCAGAGTTATAAAAATGTTTTGCATATCTTAAAAATTAAAAAAGAAGAAGGAATGAAAGGACAGGAGGTCTAGTTAATGGCAAAGAAAGCTTGGGCGAGAGTGAGAGCATGAGAGGTGGAAGAAACTAGTAAATTTAGAAATGGAAGTTCGGGAGTTCTGAGATCGGTCAGGTCGATTCGTTAATAAGAGGTAATTGTTAAAAGAGCTGGTTAATGAGGTGGAATGGGGACAAATGTAAATACAATAGAGGATTTTGAGGAATTAATACTTGGTGTTTTGGTGTCACCCAACAATGGCTGGAGATAGGCTTAGACAAGGGAACTAAGTCAACGAAGGCAATTCTTTACTGGGGAAGAGTTTCCCAAATACAACAGGTAACGCATTTTAAGAATATAATTCAAATGTTTCTAGAGAAAAGGTAGAATTGTTGCTCAAAGGTCATTAGCACTGTCTAGAAATGGGGATGCAGGACATTATAGGTCCCTCGTTCTGTTTCCTTAAAACAAAAACAAGAGAATATATAATTTCCCTTTAGTGTGTTTGCAAAGTTTTCGTTGTTCAGGGAAGTCGTTTTTACTTTTTTAACCAATATCCTTTAATGGCCAGTGTTCGGAGGACGTACGCTTTGGGCCTTGGGGGCGGAATTTGCGGCGCCTCACCCTCAGGCGCATGCGCACCTAAGGAGCCCGGAAGTGAGCGCTTGCTTTCATTTGGCTGCAGGCGCCTCTCATTTAAGGAGGCGCTCGAAGAGGGGCTCGCTTGCTGGCTCGTGCGAGCGCTGGGAGAGTGAGTGCTTCCTGAGATTTGCGCCCTGAATGCCTAACACCTCACTCTAGTCCCGGAAGCTCCTCCGATGCTTATGATGCTTGTGTACTATGCCTTCTGTTGCTCACCTCTTTCGTTCTTTCTTTGTTTAATGACTTACAGGGAAGTGGTGTGCTATGTTCTCCCTTGTGACTAATTTTCAGCCAATTGCTCAGGATTCTCAGAAAACTCGAGAGAGCCCCTCTAACTGTAGAACACTGGTGTAACTTCTTGTGTCTCCTTCCCCAAGTTTGCAGCTGCCAAGGATTTGCTGGATTTGAGGAGCCCAGGATGCGCTGACCTGCTCTGAGGCTGGACTGTGGACACTGAGGTTGGCGAGTGCTTCTGCCCCAGAACGCCGCGGCTCTTTTCCTGTTTGGAGTACAGGGAAGTAGTATCCCACATCAGAAACAGCCCAGTCTTCAACTAGGGGCTCCCGCCGAGATGTCCAAAAGGCTCAGCCCCCACTTACAGCAAAAAATCCCGGAAGGTGCCTACTGTGAGAAACACCTGGAACCACTGCAGCTGTTCTGTGATGATGACCAAATCGCACTTTGTGGCAAGTGCCTCCAGTCCCAGGAGCACACGCATCACATGGTGTATGGAGTACAAGAGGCTGCTGAGAATTACAGGGTAAGCTTCAGGCGGATCCCAGAGCACTCTGGCACTGTGGCTGCCTCTCCTTATTTATTAACTTATTTATTTAGGAGCAGATATTCTGATCTTCCGAGAGCATTTCCTTAGTTGATGTTTATCAAAGAATATTAGACAAGTACTCTATTTAGACGTTCAACTTCAAGGTTAAGAAAACATATTGTCAGGACTATTGGTCTCTCGATTGTCTAAGGGTTAGGAATCCAACTGTTCTAAAACAATTACTTCACCTGGAATTCTGTGCTATATTTCTCTGCAGAGGTTATTCCAGGAGATATCAAACGTGTTGAAGGAGAAACTTGAGGTAGCTAAAAGCATGTTGGCGGATGAGCAAGAAAGAATGGTGATGATTCAGGTCAGTGCTTATCTTGATTCTTAGGGGGGAAATTACCTATAATGTTGGATAACAAATAATATAAACAAAGACAAATGACAAAGCGGGAAAAAATATTTGAAACTCATAGGAAGGAAAAGTGTTAATTTCTTAACGTGTAAAGAGCTTTTAAAAGTCAATAAGCAAAAGACTAGAAACTCAATAGAAAATTGATCAAAAAATGAGAGTTCACAGAAAGAAAATGCAAATATCTTTTGAGGAAGATCCTGAACTTTGCTCATGGTAAGAGAAATACAAATTAACTGTATTAAATTTGTTAGTGAGATGGCATTTGCAACCCTTATGGACAAAGATCAAAAACATTGACCAGGGGCTGGCCCTGTGGCCAATCGGTTAAGTGTGCACGCTCCGCTGCTGGCGACCCGGGTTCGGATCCTGGGCCCGCACTGATGCACCGCTTGTCAGGCCATGCTTTGGCAGCGTCCCATATAAAGTGGAGGAAGATGGGCACGGATGTTAGCTCAGGGCCAGTCTTCCTCAGCAAAAAAAAGAGGAGGATTGGCATGGATGTTAGCTCAGGGCTGATCTTATTCACAAAAAAAAAAAAAAATTGATCACAGTTTATCAATTAATGAGTGTCTCATGTATTTTTGGTGGCCATGTAAATCCTGCAACCGTTTAAAGGGCAATTTGAGAATTAGCATCCAAATTGAGGGCTTGCCATCCATTATGCACACGTTTCACTTCTGATTTCAAGCCCTCTCTTCATATTTAACTCTATTCTGTGCTAGGTATCCCAGATTCCAGGTCTTCTCTCTTTCAATTTTTAAAGAAAATAAACGTCCAGTTGAGGACGGTCAAGGAGGAGAATAGCCTGGCTGTATAAGAATTTTTCAACTGATCTTTATTTTTTTCAGCCCCAAGCACCATATATTCAACAAATATTGGGGTCCTACTCTTTGCCAGGAACTATGCTAAGTACTGGGGATTCAGCAGTGGGAAAAAAGCAATTCTGCCCTTGTGCAACTGACATTCTAGTGGAGGTAAACAAAACAAGTAAAATGTATAATATGTTACCTGTTAAGTGCTATAAAAATTTTTTTTGAAGAGCAGGAAAGAGTGATGGGATACACTTCTAAATAAAGTGATCAAGACCTTGTCGTTCAGAAAGTAGCATTTGAGAAGACTCAAGGAGGTGAGGAATTGAGCCATGCAGTCTTGGGAAGAATATTCTAGGCAGGGGGAAGGGCAAGTACCAAGCTCTTGAGACTGATGTGTACTTGGTTGGGATTGTGTGAAGGAAATAGAGAGTAGAAGGTGATGAGATTAGAAGAAAAAGGGGCCAAATCATCTAGGGCAGTTGACTTTAAATAAAATAAGGAAACCACTGGAAATTTGAACAGAGTGACATCACCTAACTTCCACTTTCACAGAAACACTAACTGTTGAAGTGAGACTAGACTGTAGGAGGGTGAGAGTAGATGGTTGCAATAATCAGGGACGGGTGATGTTGAACTAGTGGGGTAGTGGTAGAGGTGGTAAGTGGTCAGGTTCTTGATAAATGTTGATTCCATCAAGTCTCATGAGATTAAATATCATCACTACGCTAACTACTCCCAATGTATATCTCCAGCTCAGACTTCCAAATGATAGGCTTTCATGTCCAACTTCCTACTCAGCATCTCTTCTTGGATGTCTAATTGACTCATCAAAATTAGCATATCCAAAACTGAGCTCCTCGTACGTTATTCCCCACCTCTGGAGTCTATCCCTTCCGTAGTTTCCCTTTCTGTGTTTTGGCAAGCCCATTCTTCGAGTTACTTAGTCTAAAAACCTTGGAGTCGCCTCTTGTTTCCTGTTTTTTCACACCCCCTATTCAAAGCATCAGCAAATGCCGTTGGCATTGCCTTCCAATTTTCCTGGTCTCCTTCTCTTTGGTCACTGAGGTTGTAGATTCCTCAGTTTTCTAAGCCAATAACATTCCTTCATCTGCATCTCATGTTCTAAATCTGTGTTGGTGTCTTGGCTGGTCTTGACTCTGAAATTCCCTTTGTATTTATGCCTTTTATTTCTTCCCCTATACTGTACATTTTCTTGTGTTTATATTGGAGTTAGAGATGGAAAGAGAAATATTTATGGTCAATCTGTGATGTATAACCTGAAGTCTATCTTCTCTATTGTCAATGATGAAGGAAGAGGAGCAGAATTTTAAAGAGATGATTGAGTCTGAATATAGGATAATGTTCCGATTGATGATTGAAGAGAATGAGGTGAACTTCCAGAGCCTGAAACAATGTGTATTCAACCTGAACTTGAGAGAAGCTAGTCTGAATCAACTGACTGATTTTGCCACAGAGCTAAGCAAGAAGTCCCAGGAAATGCTACGGGTGAGATATTGAAAATGGCATCCTTACAATATTTGGGAAATGAGAGAAAGGAGAGCTGAACATTGTCAGTTCCAGAATAAGACAACCACGTATGTATTAAAAAAAAAAATGTATATATTCACCCAGCAATTCTATTTCTGAGAATTTATCTTGCAAATAGACTTACATGCATATGAAAAGACGCATGGATAAGGAAACACTGTAAAATCATTGCAGTATAGAGCCATGGTTTAGAGGTGGTCTTTGAAGCCAGATTGATGAGGTTCCTATCCGAGTATCTGCTATTTACTAGCCTCTGGGTGGCCTTGGACATGTTGCTTAACCTCTGACTCAGTTTCCTTAACTATAAAATGGGAATAATAATGGCCCCTAGTTCACAATATTGTTGTAAGGATTGAATGAGAAATCTACATAAAGCTCCTTAAATAGTGTTTTACATAGTACACACTTGATAAGTATCAGGTATTATTGCTACTATAACATTTATTGATAGCAAGAGATTAGATACAGCCGATATCCATTGAAACGGGACTCATGAAATAAATTGTATTATGTACATACCGTGGAATGCTCATCAGCATTTAGAAAAGATAACATGGCTTTATGTGTACAAATACAGAGTATTCTCCAAGAGCATATTATTTATTAAGAAAAAAGCAAGTCATCAGATCAGCAATAGTATAATATGACATTGTTTGTGTTCTTTAAGAAAAAAATAACATGAACGTGTGCTTATGTGCCTCGGTGGAGCATCTTCGCAAGGATATAAAGGCAACTGGTATCAGTGGCTTAACTATTTCATTCTTACTGATTGAATTTAATTTTTAATTAAATTATAATATTAATTTTAATTTAATAAAGGGAATAGGAAACTTTCTGACCAAAACTGCACAGCAAAAAATGTGATCTGTTTTAGATCCAGGTTATTAATTGAATAACTGGCCTACATGCATGCCGTCCACATCAGCATAACTATATTAAGTGTCAATCAAGTTTCTGTTGAGGCGTCCTGCTTGACACAGAGGGATATCCTGGCCTTATCAAATTATGTCTTTCTGGGGTGGCTGGCACTAAAGCACGTTTTTAAAGAAATGGTTGAGTTATCAAATAAGAAATTACCAGTTGTTGAATAGTAATAAGGAGATGCTTCTGCAGAGACTGAACGATCTGGAGAGAGAGAACATGAATAAACTGAAGGAGAGTGAACTCAGGCTCTCTGAACAGATCTGCAGCCTCCAAAGCATCCCTGCAGAGTTAGAGAAGTGTGGGGAATCCACCTTAGCACTGCTCCAGGTAAGATTCCAGAAATAACCTTCATTACAGTATTTGAGAAAGGAGAAGTGAACAGTACTCATTAGGAGTCAGTTCCAAAACAACATCCAGTGATCTTCAGTAATACGTGAAGGCTGTGTAGCTATTTTTCAGTCCACCAAAAGCATTATGACTCATCATAAAATCATAGTATGTGTAGAGCTACTTCATGATGTGAATTCTCACCTTAAAATGATCAATGGTAAGTTTGAATTGAGATGTCCCTTAATAGGGTAAATAATTGATTAGTCAAATTATGATACAGTATACAATAAAATATTCTGCAACCATAAAAAAAGGAATGAAGCAGCTCTGTAAGCACTAAAAGATTATTTTCGAGATGTCTTAAATGAAAAAAAAAAACGCAGAGCCACTTTTTGTTATTTAGAGAATATGTATATATCTATAGAGACATATATGCTTATTAATATTCAGATGGTCCCTGGCAGGATAAACACTAACATTGTAATCTGCAGTAACCTTGGAAACAAAGGTGAGCCTTATTTATATAGTATTGTATATTTTAAATTTTGTACAGTAACATGCATTATCTTGTCAATAAGTAAATTCATAGCTTTTATTATTTATTTATTTATTTATTTATTTCCTGAGGAAGATTTGCCCTGAGCTGACATCTGTTGCCAGTCTTCCTCTCTTTTTTTTTGCTTGAGGAAGATTTGCCCTGAGCTAACATCTGTGCCAATCTTCCTCTATTTTGTATGTGGGATACCGCCTCAGCATGGCTAACAAGTGGTGTAGTCTACACCCGGGATCCAATCCCAAGAACCTGGGCCGCCAAAGCAGAGCATGCTGAACTTAACCACTACACCACGGGGCCAGCCCAGCTTTTAAGGACTATCCATATCTCTCTGCCAGGCTCATATTTGCAATGTGAGTGCTTTTATTTGAGAAGCCCCTTCACACAAACCCTTAGGTTCTGTTCTAGAGCCAAGCCTACTTCCAGACAGTGCCAGGTAGATATGACCCAGTTATGCTCAATTCCTGACCTGGCTTCAAACACCCTACCCAGCCCAACAGGCCCCTGCATCTGTTCAACCTTTGCCAGCCCCAGTATAGAAAGCAAATAAATGAGCAGAATTTAGGTGAGGAGTGTTCTGAATAAGATGGATAAGGTGATGCATAGAAAACATTTCCCTTGGGAAGATAACAATGACTTCAAGCATTTTTCTGACTTTTCCCCTATTCGGTGTTAGAACTTGATATCTGAGAATTAGCACCATGAGGCTGAAGAAATTACATGGAAATCGAATTTCTCTATTATAAGAGAAGATATTTTCATGGGCACAATTCACAAAAGATTTAGCTCAAATACCCAGTGGTAACCTTATCTTTTTTTTTCCCCCTGTAGAATGCGAGATATTCATTGGAAAGGTAAGTTTTCATTTTGGAAACATTTGGGTCAGATGCAGAGTCTGATGTGTGGGCACATGGGTTGTGGGGGGAGGGATACGGAGGGCATGTAGTGAGATCCATCCTTAGGATGGAGGGGCCTGGAGTCCGCACGGATAACTGAGGTTGCCCTTTCTTTAATAGGAGTGAGTCACTACTGCTTCAGTGTCTACAGCCTGCCCGAATCGCAGACCTGAGTTTATGCCAAATAGCAGGAATGAGCAAAATGCTAAAGGTGCTCCAAAGTAAGTAGACACAGATCCATGATTGCAGGGCACTTCATTTATTTTTATTTATTCATAATTATTTATTTATTATTTATTTATAATACTTGAGAATCAAGTGACCATCCTACCACAAAAGTAAATTCTAGATAGCTTCAGGATTTAAAAAAGTTGGAGAGTTTGATATGCTACACACATTAGGTAACTATCAAGAAAACGATTGCATGATCTGATGTTGAAAGGCTCTCCTACGTAAATCCTTTACCACTTTCCGAACTCTGCAATGTAATTGCAGGCAGATTCCACTGGAAAATTTTAAACTTTTAGTTAAAAAATGTCAACATGTGTAGCGAAGGATTTCTGTCTTCTCCCCTATGGTTCTGCCTTTTCCAGAATGTCTGTCCGTGGATTCATACAGTATGTGACCGTTCGAGTCTGGCTGCTTTCACGTAGCATAATGCATTTGAGTCACATCCAAGTTTGTTGCGTGTATCAGTAGTTCTTTTTTGTTGTTGTGTGGTATTCCGTTGAGTGAATATACCACAATTTATTTATCTTTTTGCAGTTTCATGGGCATTTGAGTTGTTTCCAACTTTATACTATAAATATTCACTTACGGATTTGTGTGGACATGGCTTTGTTTCTCTTGGTTGAATATCTAGGAATGGGATTGTCAAACTTGTTTTCCAAACTGTCTGTGCCATTTTGCATTCCCACCAGTAATGTGTGAGATTCAGTTGCTCTACATCCCCGTCAGCATTTGGTATTGTCAATTGTTTTTATTAAAGCTAACATAATAGGTGTGTAGTAGTATGTCATTTTGATTTTTAATTATTTCGGAAATGACTAATGATGTGGAGCCGTATTTTCATGTATTTATTTACACTTTACTGTATCTCTTCTTTTTTTTTTTTTTTGTCCCTTTTTTCTCCCCAAAGCCCCAGTAGATAGTTGTATGTCATAGTTGCACATCCTTCTAGTTGCTGTATGTGGGATGTGGCCTCAGCATGGCCTGACAAGCTGTGTGTCGGTGCGTGCCCGGGATCAAAACTTGGGCCGCCAGCAGCGGAGCGCACGCACCTAACCGCTAAGCCACGGGGCCGGCCCTCTGTATCTCTTCTTTGAAGTATATCTATAAACGTTTTCCCCATTTAAAATTTTTTGTATATTTTCTTATTGAGTTTTGTAATTTCTTTATATATTCTGATTACCAGGCCTTTATCAGCTATGTGTTTTGTAGCTATTTCTCCCAGTCTGTGGTTTTTATTTTCATTTACCTAACAGTATTTTTTGAAGAGCAGAAGTTTTAAATTTTGAAGTTCAGTTTAACTTTTTTTTTTCCTTTATAGCTTGTGCTTTTTGTGTCCTGAGAAATATTTTCCTACCCCAACAAAGATTTTCTTCTAGAAGTTTTACAGTTTCTGTTTTTACATTTAGGTCTGTTATCCATTTAGAGTTGATATTTGTATATGATTCAAGATTTGGCACAACTCTCTCCCTTTTTTTGTACATGTATATATCCAATTGTTCCAGCATCTTTTGTTGAAAACACTTATCTTTCTCCGTTAAATTGACTTAGCACCTTTGTTGAAAGTCAGTTGGCATATACGAGCAGGTCTATATGGACTCAAATAGGCCTGTTGATCATTGTGTCTATCCTTTTGCTAATAACACACTAGCTTGATTGATTACCTTTAGGAAGTCTTAAGATTGGGCATTGTGAGTTCCCCAAACTTGTTCTTTTAAAAATAATTTTGGGGGCCGGCCCCGTGGCGTAGCGGTTAAGTGCGTGCACTCCTCTGCTGGCAGCCCGGGTCGGATCCCAGGTGCGCACGGACGCACCGCTTGTCAGGCCATGCTGTGGCAGCGTCCCACATAAAGTGGAGGAAGATGGGCACAGATGTTAGCCCAGGGCCAGTCTTCCTCAACAAAAAGAGGAGGATTGGCATGGATGTTAGCTCAGGGCTGATATTCCTCACACACACAAAAAATAATGATAATTTTGGCTACTCTAGATCCTTTGCTTTTCCACAGATTTTAAAATCAGCGTGTTAGCTTCTACAAAAAACTGCTGGGATTTTGATTGGTGTTACATTGCATGTACAGATCAATTTGGGGATAAGATGATATAGCTCCGTTTATTGATGTCATCTTTGATTCCTCTCATCAGTGTTTTGAAGTTTTCAGCAAACAAATATTGTGCATATTTAATTAGATAGATCCCTAAGTATTTTATTTTTTTAGTGCTATTATTAACGATATATATGTCAATTTCTAATTGAAATTTTATTCATTTCTAGTTTGTTGCTGGCATATAGATATAATATTGGTTTGCATATATTGTCATTGTATCTTACAACTAGGCTAAACTCATTTATTAGATCTAGTGGCTTTCTTGTACATTCTTTGGGATTTTCTTCAAAGATAGTCAAGTAATCTATAAATATAGACAGTTTTATTTTTTCTTTTCCAATCTGTAAGCCTTGTCTGTATTTTTCTCACCTAATTGTGCTGGGCAAGACCTCCATTATGATGTTGAATAGAAGTGGTGAGAAACATTTGCCTTTCTTGATCTTAGGGAGAAAGAAGGCATTAAGTCTTTTGCCTTTAAGTTTGATGATAGCTGTAGGTTTTTTATAGTTGTCTTTCATCGAGTTGAGGAAGTTCTCCTCTATTCCTGGTTTTGCTGAAATTTTTGTCATGAACGGATGTTGAATATATTAGATGCTTTTTCTGTATCTATCAAAATATTCATGTCTTTTCTTCATATATTAATATGGTGAATTATGTCTTTTTCGTATGTTGAACCAGCCTTGCATTCCCAGGGTAAACTCTTGGTAACGATGTTTTATCCATTTTATATATTGCTGGATTCAATGTGCTAATATTTTTAAAAGAATTTTTGTATTTATGTTAATGAGGTGTATTGATCTGTAGCTTTCTTCATAATCATTGATGCTATTTAATTTCATTTTCATTTCTGGATAATCTGTTTCTTTGTCAAATCTACTTGCTCTTTCTTTTTAGTTTCCTATATCTTGTAGAAATTTTTAAGCTTTTCTTTTTTCTTCAAACATGGTAAGCAAAAATTATTTTAGAGTCTGTGCTTGGTAATTCCAGTATCTAAAATTCTTCAGATTTATTTCTTCTAGTCTCACTCCATAGTGCTTTCTTACTTTGTGTATATTTAATGATTTTTTTAATAGTAAGCTTCTCTTTTTTCCCTGGATATTATTTTTAGAAATTCTTTGAGGCCAAAAATGAATGTGTTCATTTTTCCAGAGAATTTGCATTTGTTTCTGCCTGTCTTCTGGAAATACTAAGAGCCTGAGACAACTTGAAATTTAAAATTCAAGGCTTGTGGCATTTAAAACCACCCTAATAATGATGTGAATTGGGCTTCAAGTCCAGAGATATAAGTTTATTTGGCAATAAAACTTGCTGCTGGATGAGATGTTAAAGAAAGTAAGAAATAAAGGACTACTCCAGGTTTATGGCTTGATCAACTAAAGCAATAAGTATGCTATTCACTGAAAAGTAGAAACTAGAAGAGGATACGTTTGAAGTTTCATGTTGGATATAGTATGCTTGAAATGCCTGTGTTATGTCCAACTAATACATTGCAGTTGTTTATGAAGTAAGTCACGAACATATAGAAGATACTTAAACTGAGGCGAGGTGAAGTCACTGAGGGGCAAGGGAATACCAGTAGTAAAAAGGAAGACCCAGGACCAGCCTCTGAGATATCACAATATTTAGAGGATGAGGAGAAAGAGGTAAGAGAAGGAACAAGCATAGATATGAAGGCAGGTATCACTTTCATTCAAGTATAAGAAACCACGTTGAGCTTTCTTGTTCCTAGCTTGATTTTCCTAGAGGATTCTCACAGATTTTCTAGCCTCTGCTGATATATTCTCTTTTGATTTACTCAATATCAAGGGCCTGCTGGCACAATTTCTGTGGGCAGCTATGTCTCATACTCTAGTGATATTTAAAATGAGGAGAGCAATTCAGTTACAGAAGAGCCAGGAATCAGCTGCTCTGTTAGGAGACTCTACTGCTTCTTTAGGGGACCAGATCTTTAGAGAACTAGAGCTGGGTCCCAGGTGATAACTGGCTAGGACCGGATACCAGGCCATTTTTTACAGCCTGATAAAATTCCTTTCTGGTTTGAAAGGTACGTCTACACTTCTCTGTAGTCTGTTATTCTTTGTTCTTCCTCCTCAGATTGCTTGCATCTCCTCCCATTATCTTACTGACTTCATTCCTCTATAATGTCCATTTCTTTTTTTTTTTTATTGTGAAATTTTTGTTGTACATTATTGTTTATCAGTCACCATGTAAGTGCATCCCTCCATCCCTTGTGCCCTCTCCCCACCTCCCTAGCCCCTGGTAACCACCAAACAGTTCTATCTGTGCATGTGTTGGTTTATCTTCCACACATGAGTGAAATCATGCAGTGTTTGTCTTTCTCTTTCTGGCTTATTTCACTTAACATAATACCCTCCAGGTCCATCCATGTTGTTGCAAATGGGACGATTTTGTCTTTCTTTATGGCTGAGTAGTATTCCATGGTATATATATACCACATCTTAATCCAGTCATCAGTCGAGGGACACTTGGGTTGCTTCCATGTCTTGGCTAGGTGAATAACGCTGCGATGAACATAGGGGTGCATAAGCCTCTTTGGATTGTTGATTTCAGGTTTATTGGGTAGATACCCAGTAGTGGAATAGCTGGATCATAAGGTATTTCTATTTTTAATTTTTTGAGGAATCTCCATCCTATTTTCCATAGAGGCTGCACCATTTTGCATTCCCACCAGCAGTGGATTAGGGTTCCCATTTTGTTTCTTTGTCAAATCTACTTGCTCTTTCTTTTTAGTTTCCTATATCTTGTAGAAATTTTTAAGCTTTTCTTTTTTCTTCAAACATGGTAAGCAAAAATTATTTTAGAGTCTGTGCTTGATAATTCCAGTATCTAAAATTCTTCAGATTTATTTCTGCTAGTCTCACTCCATAGTGCTTTCTTACTTTGTGTATATTTACCTCTCCAGCATTTGTTGCTTTTTGTCTTGGTGATTATAGCTATTCTAACGGGTGTGAGGTGATATCTTAGTGTGGTTTTGATTTGCATTTCCCTGATGACTAGTGATGTTGAGCATCTTTTCATGTGCCTATTGGCCATCTGTATATCCTCTTTGGAGAAGTGTCTGTTCATTTCCTCTGCCCATTTTTTGATTGAGTTGTTTGTTTTTTTGTTATTCAGTTGTGTGAGTTCTTTATATATTATGGAAATTAATCCCTTGTCAGATATATGGTTTTCAAATATTTTTTCCCAGCTGGTGGGTTCCCTATTCATTTTGATCATGGTTTCATTTGCCTTGTAGAAGCTCTTTAATCTGATGAAGTCCCACTTGTTTATTTTTTCTTTTGTTTCCCTTGTCTGAGTAGACATGGAATTCAAGAAGATCCCTTTATGGCTGATGGCGAGTAGTGTACTACCTATATTTTCCTCCAGGAGTTTTATAGTTTCAGGTCTCACCTTCAGGTCTTTGATCTATTTTGAGTTAATTTTTGTGTATGGCGAAAGAAAGTGGTCTACTTTCAATCTTTTGCAAGTGGGTGTCCAGTTTTCCCAGCACCATTTGTTGAAGAGACTTTCCTTTCTCCATTGTATGTCCTTAGCTCCTTTGTCAAAGATTAGCTGCCCATAGATATGAGGTTTTATTTCTGGACTTTCAGTTCTGTTCCGTTGATCTGTGTGTCTGTCTTTGCACCAGTACCATGCTGTTTTAATTACTGTCGCTTTGTAGTATATTTTGAAGTCAGGGATTGTGATGCCTCCAGCCTTGTTTTTCTTTTTCAGGATTGCTTTAGCTATACCGGGTCTTTTGTTACCCCATATGAATGTTAGTATTCTTTGTTCTATTTCTGTGAAGAATGTCCTTGGGATTCTGATTGGGATTGCATTGAATCTGTAGATTGCTTTAGGTGGTGTGGACATATAATGTCCATTTCTTGAAACAAAGGTTGGAGGTTCCTTCTCCTGGACTTCACTAGATTGCCTCTCCCATATCCATGCCTGAGACTTATGCCCACTTATTGAAAGCCCCTGCATGTTAGAAATCATCAGTCTCTGGCATCGATGAACCCCTAGGTTAACTAAATTTCTCTCTGCCTACAGGGCCTATAACTTTGGATCCCAAAACAGCTCATCCCTGTCTGGTCTTATCTGAGGATCTGAGAAGTATAAGACTCAGAAACGTCCAGCAGGATGTGCCTGGCAACCCGGAGAGATTTGACTTCAGTGCCACTGTGTTGGGTGTGGAGAGCTTCACCTCAGGGAGGCACTACTGGGAGGTGGATGTGGAAAAAACAACAAAGTGGCAATTGGGTATATATGAAGATTCTGTCAGCAGAAAGAGTGACATACCTAAAGCTTCTGCAGATAAAGTCTTACTCACAGGATCCCTGATGGGAGCTGATTTTACCCTCTGGGTCTTTCCCCCTTTAAGAAGAGTCTTCCTGAGAGAGCAAATGCACAAAGTTGGAGTTTTCCTAGATTATGAGTATGGGCAGATATCCTTCTATGATGTGACAAAGAGATCCCTCATTTATAATTTCTCTTGTCTCGCCTTCCAAGGAGCTCTCAGACCTATATTTTCTCTTTGCCTCCCAGTTGGAGGCACAAATTCAGACTCTCTCAGCATCTGCCTCCCTCATGTTTCTTCTTGTAATGTTACTGTTAGACCTCAGTCTTCCTTGGTGTGAAATCTAAGACTACAAGAAGCCAGAAAGTTAAGAACATGATTTTGTAAAATAATTTATATAAAGTAATCCAATAAAAGATTTCTAGTACTTGAGTTGGAACCCAGTTCAACACCCCAGAGCCTTTGCATTCATGTGGCTTTCAACAGCCGTTACGGGAAGAGGTTACATTTCAGCTGAGTCATGAATGATGATAACTGATGGACTCTACATTAATTAGAACAACAAATGCATATGCACAGAAAGATTGGGGAATTAGAGACGAAATATAGTCTGGAATCCTTAGGACTAGGTTAAGTACTCTAGAGATAGTTCTGAAAATAGAGTGAGGTATAATCAGGACTTTAGATTTGAGGATAATCATCATAGTGACATGTGGAATGGAAACCTCCTATTACTGACATTGAGGCATCCTATTACTGACAGTGTCAAGACTTCATAACTTTTATCATTCCAAATAGAGAACAACTTCATTTCCCTGGATATTTTATCTGGGTGAATAGAAGGTGTTATGGAAAATGTGAGCATTTTAAAATTATTTTTTCAAGTATTCTACTTTCTTATAAGGAAAATTAGATTCCTTGGAAGACTGATAGTTCAATGCTTTGGAAGAAATGAGTAATATTGTAATGATGTGACTTTAAGAAAATTAAATCACCTCTGAGTGATTTAATTTTCTTAAAATCACATAACTGTTAAGTATCTAGTAAGTAACAAAGATAAGGAATTAAATTTGGATCGTCATCAAAACGCAAGCTCTGCCTCGAGTCCTGTTGCATAGGAACCTATTGTGTAAGCATCACTAGGTAGGATGGTGGTTCGATTTTATCCAAATTTCCTAAAAATGCAAGCCAATTTCTGCAGGAAGTAGAGGAAGCATATTATTTATCTTTCTCTCTATAGTATACTCTGCATGTATTGTGGAGGCTATATTCTTCCAGATGGGCAGAGTGAAAGGGAGCAAAATGCAAATACAAGAAAATTGCTTCTGTTGACTCATGGGCACCTGGGAAGGTGTAAAGTCATATTTACGTATCTTTTTGGGGACAGATTTGTAATTGACCATTTGGAATTCTCAAAATTTGCTATTAAACATCAAATGGATATTTGTGTGTGTAAAGACATAAGCTTAGAAAAAGTCTGCATATCTTCACACCAAATCACAAGAAGACTTGGAGTAGAGTATCCCTGATCTGAGAAGCGGGGGTTAGATTAGGTGAGTGAGTTGAAAGTGAGATAATTATTTGAAACACTGAGATTAAGAACTTAGAGCAGTGGATCTCAAACACCTTCCAAATTTCTTGAGGAAAAGATGATGATTCATTATATAGGGAAATGTGAGAATTTACTAATAATTGTCTTTGTGATTCTAAATCTCCACCCTTGTCTTACATCAAATTTCCCCTGCCTCTGTAACTTGGCTCTTAAGAACTATTTTCCCAAGCTCAGAAACCAAAAGAGAATGCAGCATGTCCTTCCAATGTCACACTGGGGCATTGTCTAACAAGCACACAGATTTAAATTCTCTAGGAAAATGTATCTGTATTTGACTTTGGTATTTATCATTTGATGAGAACTCAGATGCTGAAGTTATATGTTAACTTGAAGAATTATCTGGTACAGAAGAAATCCTCAAGGTTTTGGTTTTATTGCCCTGAAGGGTATTAACCAGTTTTGTATCTAATCTAAGCAATCTTATTTTAACATTCTTTTTTATTCCTGATGATCTGTACAAACTACTGCTTCTCATTCCTCTTGGAACCAACTTTACTCTCTGATTGTTTCTTTAACTAATTACTGAGTTGAATAAAATCTTTGACACATGACCATCTATATTTGTAGAAGAATCATGTTTTCAAGCCTTCAAAATACTTTGAGGGGGCCGGCCCCGTGACTTAGCGGTTAAGCGCGCGCTCTACTACTGGCGGCCCAGTTTCGGATCCCGGACACGCACCGACGCACCGCTTGTCCGGCCATGCTGAGGGTGCGTCCCACATACAGCAACTAGCAGCATGTGCAACTACAACATACAACTATCTACTGGGGCTTTGGGGAGAAAAAGAGAAAAAGAGGAAGATTGGCAATAGATGTTAGCTCAGGGCCGGCCTTCCTCAGCAAAAAGAGGAGGATTGGCATGGATGTTATCTCAGGGCTGATCTTCCTCACAAAAAAAAAAAAAAGGAAAATACTTTGACACAGACTACTGACCTTCTGAATAAAAATATCCAATATATCCTTCTAGCCACAAAGACTTTACATGTGCAGTTCCTGATACTTCAGTTACCGCTCTCCCTCTTTTTGCTGATTCTGGCTCATTCTTCAGTTCTTAGCCTAAGTGTCTTGCCTTAAAGAAGCCACCTTTAACATCCTTAACAAGAGCAAATCCTGAGACAGCATTGCACCAGTTACAGCTTCTTATGCAAAGCACGGTTGCAATTTTATATTTATTTGGGTGATTATTTGATTACCTTTTCCACTAGACTTTAGTAAATTCCATGAGAGTAAGGACTGTGCCTGTTTCTGTTTATCCACTTTAGCTTGTGTTAAACAGTGCCCAGCACAAATCCTCAAATATTCATTGAGGAAAAAAGCAGTAAGTAGTGTGGTAAATTGTGGGACTGGGTGAGTGATGGTAGAGTGTTCAAGTCTTGGAGGGGAGGTATACCTGTGTCAAACCTAAAAGGTGAGAAAAGAATATTCAGGTGAAATGATAGTTTTGTTTGCTAGGGCAGCCATAATGAAGTATCACAAACTGAGTGACTTAAGCAACAAAAACTTATTGTCTCATAGTTCTGGAGGCTAGAAATCCAAAATCAAGGTGTTGGCAGGGTTGGTTTCCTCTGAAGACTGTTCCATGTCACTCTCTTAGCTTCTGGTGGTTCACTGACAATCTTTGGTGTTCCTTGGCTTATTGACATCACTCCCTTCTCTGCATTTATCTTTACTTGGCATTCTCCCTGTGGTTCTCTCTCTTCACATGGCATTTTTTTTTTTCATAAGGGCACCAGTCACATTGGATTTAGGGGCCCACCCTACAGTACGGCCTCATTTTAACTTAATGATGACCCTATTTCCACTTAATGTCACATTCCAAGGTACAGGGAGTTAGGACAGTGGCATCTTTTTTTTTTTTTGGTGTTGGGGGGAGGGTGGAGTGGGGACAATGACAGTTCAACCCATAGCAAATGGGTTGGTGTGAGATGGTTTTTCATGTACAGCAGCAGGTTTGCAATTTGTTCATCCTAAAACCATCTGAGTCTTTAAAAATCCCAATATCTGGGCTGGCCCGGTGGCGCAAGTAGTTAAGTGTGCGCACTCCACTGTGGTGGCCTGGGGTTTGCAGGTTCGGACCCCGGGCACGCACTGACGCACCACTTGTCAAGCCATGCTGTGGCGGCGTCCCATATAAAGTAGAGGAAGATGGGCATGGATGTTAGCCCAGGGCCAGTCTTCCTCAGCAAAAAGAGGAGG